CATTTTAGGAAAACTGCAAAATGTTATATTCCTTAGGCTAACAAAAAAGAAGAGCCAAAGACAAGTATTAGATCGTCAGAATCTCAGGTCTTGGTCTTTTTATGTCCATATCCATAAAATACTCATCAGCTATTCCTAAGGAGCCAGGAAAAATGAAGATTGGGACTTTTGAAAATTTCTTTAGAAATCTGCCATTTTTCCCCCCAAACCTGAGTTTTTTTTTTAGTTTTTAAACCAATGCTGGGATTTGAACCCAGGGCCTGAGCACTGTCCTTAGGTTTTCTGCTCAAGACTAGTATTCTACCACTTGAGCCATAGCTACACTTCCAGTTTTTTGTTGGTTAATTGGAGATAAGGGTATCATGGACTTTCCTGCCCAGGCCGGATCCCAACCACAATCCATATATCTCAGCCTCTTGAGTAACAAGATTACAGGCAGGAGCCACCAGGGCCTGACTTTTTTAGACCTGAGATTTTTGACAGTAGGAGTCCTAAGTGATGGTCTTCACCTTTTTTTTTAAAAAAATAGTATTATTCCAGATAAAAATGTATAATTAACAAAAAGTTGATCAACATTTTCAATTTCCCTTTATCTTCTCATTTTAGTACTGCTCAAGTTTAGGGTTACTCTTGCTGCTGTTTGGTAGAGTTTGGTAGAATTTGGTAGAATGGTACTAGTTTTTTCAGCAATTGTTGATCACTATAGTATCATACAGATAACTTTCAGTGCTTTAAACCTGCTCTCTGCGTTCAGCTCACCCACGTCCATGCTTTATAATTTTTAAATGGAACTGAAAGCCTTTGGCAGAGGAGTTCAAACCTAGTTATACACTTAAAGTGTCTTATAGTAGAAGGTGAGAAAATGTATGTGCAGATAGACATTGCCGCCAGAAGTGATATTTCATTTCAAGCCAAATTCAGGTGATTTTTGTATTGCTATGTCATAGTACTGACAGCTCTATAGCTTAATCAGTGCTAGGAACACATATTGCAGCAAGTGCATGGTTTATGTAGATGTTTCTCAATCTACTTACTTTGGGGTATATTGCAATAGTACATTTTTGGTGGGCTGTATTGGTAACAATTCTTGGCTCTACTGTAGTAACTAAGATATAAACTTTCAGACTTAAACAATTAAATATTCAAAGAAGTATGTAAGGAAAAATTCCTTTATTTCTCAAGAAATATCATGCCATTTTGTTTTTGGAGAAAAGTTAATGGGACATAAAATAATATATGGAAGTTTGGTTAAAATAATGTAGTTTTCCACTTCATTTTTTCCCTCATTATCTATAGGTTCAATCTCATAGACTAATTCTATGGTGATCCTGAATTGTCATTCAACCAAATATAGTCTTAAAAACAATAGAAGAGCCTTAAACCTACACATGTGGTCCTGACCTTGATGATATGTCTTTGTGTACTGATCTTTTGTCTTTATTATCACTTCATTTGTAAAGCTGAAGAATAAAATCAGTGTGAATGTGTTCTATAAAAACATTTTAAACTCATGCTATTAAAAAACAATTTCCTAAATGCTTTTTAATCACTAAAGATATGCTTGCATATGAGATATGTACTTTTCAGTAGATTTCTGTCTACTTGAAAACAGAGTTCAGTATTGCTAAGGAAGAATGTTCACGTGACCTATGAATATTAGTTCATTGTGAAGACCGTCATTTTTTTTTTTTAGTCTGAGAGTTTTCAGCTTCATTTATAGAAATAGCCATTTCTGAGTCCACTCTAATGTAACAGAGTGATCATGTTGGAGGAAGAGAAGCAAAGATTTTTATTTTAAATTACTCATTGTTCTTGTTCCCGTCTGTTTTTGCCCTGTAGCATTAGGTGACATTTCAAGGAGACTAAGTTGGCATAGGGCTGGAAAATATGTAATTATAAGAATCACCTGCTCTTGAATTTCCCATTATATACCATTCATGATTCAGCCAGACTTTTCATAGGTGTTTGATTTGGAAGGAGAAGTTGTTCTCTCATAACCCATGATTAAAATGTGGCATTTTGGTGTATAAGGAGGAGATAGGTTCTGAGTAATCCAGCTGTGAATCAAAGCTGATGAAGCAATGTAAGTCTCCGACCTGCATCACAGAAACGGTAGTGTACATAATTGAAAATGTTTTTTAAGATTAAGTGAAATAAAGCTTTGAAAATGCTCATAAAAGGGATTGCACGAAGCTGCAGATCTTCTGTATGGAAAAGGACATAGCTAGCAGATCAATAGAAAGCCCACGGATTAGGAGAAGATCTTCATTAGCCATACAACAGACAAGGGTCTCATATCTAAAATATACTTGGAACTCAAAAAATTAAATCCCCCAACAACAAATCCTCAAAGAAACAACTGCCCA